GTTTCTGAAACTAGAAACAAGACAGGCTTTTTACTAAGGTTGCATTGATAAATAGTTAATAAAACATTAATAAATAATTAATAGAATCTTTAATAAATGGTAAATCACTTGGCTGTCTTTATTCCTATCTTTATTCCATCAAGGCAGTAGGTTTCTTAGCACCAGCTGTAGCATCAAGTTTGTAATAACCTTAGAACATCTATTCTTCACATATTAATTTTTTCTAAATGCAACTTTAACGTGCTGTGTCTCCAAAAATTGGAGGAGGTTTAAAGCAATAGATTTAGCTAAGATTTAAAAGTACTGAGAGGGCCATTTGACAGAGAGAATATCACAGATAAGGTCTCTTTAGCAGCAGTGACCTCAGATTGAATGAATTTATTGCTAGTGATGTATGTGGGGCTGGTCCTCTTCCTACTCCACTGGGTGCCCTCTAATGATGTGAGAAAGTGTCGGTCCTGAGACTGCCTTTTTGGCCACAGAAGGAAAAAAAATGGGACTGTTGCGCTTTTTTTCTGCTTTTTTGTGGCGGTATCCACAAGAGAAGCAGTAAGGGTAGGGCTTGGTCTAACCAGTTGTGATCTATCAAAACTTCAGAACAAGAAGAAGGACTGGGTAGGGTCTTAGAAATCTCATAATCTACTACACATTCCTGTCCCAGTGTAGGAATCAATTCTGCCTAAGCTATACCTACTGATTTGTGCTTATCTGTTCTTAGGCATGTTCTTCCACAGGTGGAGTCTGTGTAGTCCTCTGAGCTGTTTCAGTGCTGCAGTATCCTTACCATTAAAGAGCTTTTTCTTATATCTAACTGGAATTTTTTTGGCTGCAGTTGAAGTACATATCCTCCATAAAACTGGAGAACAGATTATTCTCTCCTTTAGGAACAGCTCTTTCTGTAATAAAAGGCAGTTCTCGTGTCTCCCCTCAGTTCTCCCATCGGAAGTAGCATGAGCCCTATATCTTGGGAGATTTCAAATTTGATCAGGCAAAGCAGTTCAGAGTGCAGTAGGAAGGGAAGCTGCCTCAGTAGGAATGCAGAGTACACAATTCTGCTTCTTTTTTTCCATAATGATCTCTTAGAGCCTAACTCAGTACTTTTGCCTGTACATAAAAAACATGGTACACTTTCTTTTGAGCAAGAAGGAAATGATGGAAAAATGAAATACAGAGACAGGAAATAAATCTTGAAGGCGGCTATTAATTTTAGGGACTGGTTTTATAAAGCTATTTACCATTTGCCCCATATCCCCTGTACTCAATTCTCTATCTCTCTGACCTCTTCCTTAGAAACTTGCAAGTTTAAATCCTTCCCCAGTCCTCTCCTTCCATTTAAATCATTATTTGGCCTTGTACCTCTGCATCCATTAAGAGGATTGCTTGAGGTATTTGTGTTTTGGTTGATTCATTATATTGTGTCTGCATGTGTTCATCTTAGTTACTTACTTGAGGGCTTTTATAGCCAAGAAAACCAGACTTAGCTGAAGAGACGAGCATGTCTAGCTCTAATAAATAAAACACATGGAGTCAATTAAAACAATGTTTAAATAATTTTCAGAAAGGAGGATGCTTGATGTTACTACATCAGAAGATCACAGTGACTTTTAAGCCAAGAAAAAGTGCAGATTTACTTTCTCATTTAATCTCCAGGTCTATAAAAAAATGCATGCTTCTATAGCAGTGATCTAACCCACTCCAACAGTTAACATGATTTTGGAATTATTTTAAGTCCAAACCATGTGAAAATAAATCCTAACTCAATTTTGTAGGATTACTTTGTTTCCATTAAATTCCTCTTTAAAGTGTTTCCTATGCTTGCTTTTATTATTTTTACTTCTAGGAATTTCTAAATACTTCCGAATTTGGATTGATTAAACTTCTATAACTTTTCCAGGAAAAAAACCGTGAATTTAATTCCCTGTCTATTTTCCCAGGTATTTACAAACTAAGGAGGTTATAGACACATCTTAATGGATGCATACACAAAACACACTTTCTGTGTGGCTCTTTATAGTCTTAACATATTAGAAAGTAGATAGATCAGATCTCACAAGCTAAACAAAATAGAGCTTAGCAAGTACTTAAAGATAAGGGACCTCCAGAAGAAATTGGGGCACAATAAAGAATGGTGAAGTCATGTGGCTTATTAAACAAATAATATATTTTCTTCTGATACTCCAGAGTAACCTATCTGTGCTTAAGGAACAAGTAGGAGCGAGCTAAGTGGTCACATCCCTGCAGGGTGTGGGGTTTGGATTTTGACCCTTCACTAACAACAGTGCAGTGCAATTTTTGCATGTCCTTCTGCAGGTCAGCTCTGTGTGACTGGAAACATGCAGCTGTGTGGTGGTCGGTGTGGGGTTGCTGTCCAGACATTTTGAAGTGACATTTTTCAGATGAGTAAACTCAAAACTTTCTCTACCACAGTTCAAGTTTCTTTGGTTGACAGCACTTTGGCACCTGTCTATAGGTAGATGTAGGTATGTTTCTTTAGCTAACTGTATACTTTCTCACTCCTTCCACACACAGTGTTGGTTTATATGCTGACCTTTAAATGTTTGTGCTGTTATGAGTGTGTGATCTTATCTGGACTTTTCTGTCCAATAATTTTCATTGCAGTGAGAATTGAAGTGAAATGCTTCAACGTAGCTAGATTCTACCTTTGTAAAAGATTTTGGTGCTCAGGAGGTCACTCTGTAAACACAGAGATTGGATAGTCCTAATCTCAGTGAAGGCAGGATTTCTTACCTTGTAACTGAATTTCCTCAAATAATAGCAGGCTCCTTTTCCCACTGTTTTATGTTCACATGTCCCCTAATAGGGAGATGACTAGGTTTACTTACACTTCAGCTTGCCAAGTAGGTAGGCAGTGTTTAGTACATGTGTTTTGACAGGCCATATTCTGAAATGTTTGCTGGCATCACCTCCCCATGAATCCCAGGCTCGCTGTACAGCATTTTCTGTGTGGGCAGAAAGAGACTGAGGTCAAGCCTATAATTGCAGTTCTAGAATATTCTTCATTTCTGCCTTCACTCAGAATGCCTGGCCCTCTTTTAATTTGAGCTACATTCTCTGTTTCGTCATTTTGCTATGAAGAGATTTGCCACGAAACAACCTCTATGGCATAGGCTTTGGCCAAGACACGCAGGATTTGGATTATATTATCCCCCAGAAAAGTTCATGGGATGCTGACATTTTTTTCTGCCTTCCCCTGTGCAGAGGTCAGACAATCAATGCCATTTAATAGTGCTAGTGTCATGGCACTGTGCTGCCACAGTCTCACACATCCCTCACAGGAGGGATGAGCCATTCAACAATTGCTCCTTTCCTCCTCATTGCCACCATTTAGGCTTTGTCGAGTGAGAACAAGCCCTGAGCTCTACAGCAGAAACCCAGAAGTTCTTTCAGGAGTGCCATCTGGCCCATCTGCCCAAGGAAGTTTATATGTCTGCCTGTCCCACTGACTGAGGACCATGGTGCAGTTTTTCTTTCTCTCTCCTAACCTCCATGATGACACATAATTTGGAAGGGACAACTGTAGTTTTGAAACTTGCTGGTTCTGTCTTCAGGGAACTATAATTAGTATCAGCTGTAGCCACCTAGGGCATGTGTTCAGCCAAAATGCTAACCCACCACACTGCCCTTTTGACAACACCTATATTTTCTTTATCAATTGCATTATGTTATGTTTTTATTTGTGGAGCATTTGAGTGGTTGTCGTGTTAACTGCAGGAACTGGCCCATTTATGAACTTTGTTGTGACTAGCCTTGGATTTGACCAGTGTGTATTAGCAGCTGGGAAGTGTAGTTTACTGCAGTTAGGCCACTGCATGTAAGATTTCCGAGATCAGATGCTCTTCTGCTCTTTGCCTCCCTTGTCTCAAGAAAGAATTCTGTCTGAGCTTTTTAGGCAAAGAAGAACAACCAAGACAAAGATACAACAGTATGCCAGAGACAACTATTACTACCTCTCTGAATATTTATTAAATTAAAAACAAAGATAAGCGAGAAAGAAGCAGTATCTCCCATAATACACACTCATTAGAATGGCATTTACAAGCTCTCTCTAAACTAGCACTTGTGCAGTTCCTTGGTTTTAGTGATTTTCCCCCTGCTCCAATGAGCACAAGTCGCAGTGTGCTCCTGTTGGGCTTGCTGGGGCAGTGGTTCCCTGCAGTGGGAAGGAGCAGGTGTGTGCTGCTCTTCTGCTGGTGCTTCATAGCCATGGGCACCCAGGTTGTTTCTTTAAAGGTAATTGGGATATGAGTGTATAAATGATGAATAAACACACTGATACAAAAAATGGATGGCTTTTGTTTAAATGGTCTGGTAGGCAAGTTTCACTGGAGACTTGGATTTCCTGGTTAAGTGCAGACTTTCTGAGTAACTCTGTGCGACTCACCTGATTTCTCAGTCCCTCATTTTAAAGTGGAATCAATAGTGCTCTGAGGCTGTGATTGCTTATCACAGTAAGAGCCTATGGCCAATGCTACATGAGGATGCTGTGGTGCTGTCCCTGCTCTCTGCTACACCAGGCATTCATGCTGCAAGTCCATTCCAGATTTTTCTAGACCGGCCTTTTGTTTATTTTGCCACTCTGCAGTCTTGGATAGGGCTGCATCTTGCCACCATGCACTCCCACTGGTTGCACCCAGTGCTGTACAGGAGGGCCCCCTTCCTCCTTGGGTTTTGCAGGTAAAACCCTGCTCTATTCATACAGCTTGGCAGGCTGACCACAGAGGTAAAGCCAGTTGCCCTCTGATGAAGACATGGATGGTCACAATTTTCAAGAGTAAAACCTGTCCTTATTTGCATTCTGAGGAAGTCCTGCCTGTGAGGTTGTTAAGGTGCTCATCTGCGACCTAAGGGTGTAAGGTGGTGGGGCCAGTTCCTTGAGCAATTGCATCTCCAGGCTCAATGGAGCAGAAGTGACCATTTTGAGCTCTCTTTCTTCTTTTTGTACATGAATTTGTTTTCTAAACTTTTTCTTTCTTCCCTAGGAGATGACCCATTCCTGGCCTCCTCCTCTTACTGCTATTCACACTCCTGGCAAGGCTGAGCAGACCAAGTTTTCTATCCCAAGCAAGGTACAAGTGGGCTATTACCAATGACCTGATTAGCATTCTGTTCTGTTGAGTGTTCTTTGCTGGAGAGTTTATTTTTGTTGTTGGTCCCATTTAAAAAAAAATCTGATACTATTTTTAGTTGGAAATTCCCAGTCAGACTGTTGCTATTAGTAGAACTGCTTATTTAAAGCTGCAGAAGACCCAGTAGAAACAAAGTGAGTTTTTTATCTCTGTCTTTATAGGACTCTTTCTACATCAAGTAAAATATATTTTGTTTGGGTTTTTGTTTTCAATTTAGCTATTAAAATAAAGGTATTCTCATGAGAAATGTACATTTAAAATGTATGATAAAAGAGGTGGAACTTATCAAAATAATTTATCCCTTTGACATTCAAATTTAAAGTGCCATGTTTACTCTTAGGGCATTATTTACTTCACAAGGGACTGACTGACAGCACAATATAATATTAGGAACTAGTAATGCCCTAAGAGGAAGTGCAGTGAGGGCTTTAATGACTTTACCATCCTGCAGAACTAATACATCCCGCAAAGTAGTGTCTGGCTGTAGGACGAGGTTGTAAATAGTGCCTTAATTTCAGCTTATCAAACTCGGCTTGGAAGGAAAGCTGATGACAACCACTGTGGACTACACAGCCTAGAGAAAAACTAAGCCAGAAAACACTGTGACATTAAGGAAACAGCTTAGTTACTGTGAGCCAACAAGAATCCTGGCATGAGCATACTCAGTGTTGCAAGCCAGATTCTTTGTTGGTTTTAAGTTGTTATAGTTCCATTGATTTCATTGGATTTGGACCAATTTCCATCAGGTGAAGATCTGCTTCCCGCATCTTTATCAAATCCTGTGTGTCACAGTTCAAATAAAAACAGTGAGTACCAATAAAAGATCACTGTATTTCCAGGCAGTGAGATCAAACAAAAGGAAGGCAATGGCACTGAATTTAATGCATAGCTGCATTCATGCTCTGTTCTAAATTGGACATCCTGGATGGCTCCTACACACATCCATGACCAGGCCTGGGAAAGGCTTGGGCTGCTGTGGGTGTAAATCTTTGCAGTGTCTCCATAAAGCAGGGGTTGTAGATTTACAGCAGCTGAGGACATACTCTTGCCTGAGCTCTGAAGGGTCCCTTAGTGGTGCTCTGTCTCCACAGTTAATGTTTTTTTAAACTAATGTCACTGGTGCTGCCTAACAATCCCATGATCCCTTCCCTGTGCCATTTCCCTCCCTGTTTGTATAACGTCAGTGCCCTTAATCTGGCAGGCCAAGATATATTTTACCTTCTTCATTTTATTAACTAATTAACTAATGCTGACATTTTGTGTGTTCTTCTTTGTAGGACTCCCAGCATCTGACCTCAGGATACAATGTACAAAGTAGGTCTTTATCATCCTAGTCCCAACAGTCAGGGTTGGGTTTTTTGGTTTTTGGGGTTTTTTTGTCTGCTTAACGTCATTAAAACAAAGGCTAAGAAATTAATTTCTGTGGTGCTAAAGCAGATCAGTTCCATTTTTTATTACATGTTATGCATTGTGGCATGTTGTGAAACTAAGTATAATTAGATGGGCTGACAGTTTTGGGTGCATTTTAATTCTACAGTAATCTTTTGACATTTCAAAATGTGTTTCTTTGTTTGCAGAGTGGAGTGATCCAGCAGGGAAAGTTGCAACTAAGTCAGTTCCACAAAAGTCGTAAGTATCATTATTTCAAGCTTTAAATCTCATTTTAAATTTATCATAAAGAATGAGCTTATTTCTCCAAAGGTAACTAAAACCTACCTCTGCTCATAATCTTGTCCTGGTGTTCACGTGTTCTCTGTAGTCCTTAAACATTAGCCATAAACCAGTTTTATGTTTCCAGTGCTTATTACTGTTTCTTCTTTTTAAGCATTAGCTAACAGAGGTATGTGTGAAAGATGAGTTTATTAAGCAGAAATAATGCTGATTTTAGTTCTACAGCTTGCCAAAATTAAATTACTTTTATGCTTCTCTCATCAGATACTAAGCCTCTTACAATAGAAAATACAACCCAATGAGCAGATAATGCCGGAATTTTTACATTCATACAGTGTGAGAGAGTAAAATACATCATACGGAATGATTCTGCTAGCTGGTGTTGAAAAGCTGGTCTTGAGTTTCATACACTTTGAAACAGCTGTAAATCACAGATGATCTATAAATATGACAGTTGAAAATTGTGAAAGAGCTAATTCTTCATTGTGTTAAACCATTTTTCTTTGGTGCTTCTCTGATGTAAGGCTGCAGTAGTGTAGCAGTGAGTGGAGATTGAATTGTTTTTTTCTTTTATCCCAGGTTCTCTAATTTCCAAACAGGAGCTAAATAGCAACTTTGAACAGTATGTTATTGTTTTGTATATATAAACATATTATATATATAATATATATATTATATATTTTTTTTTTTTAATATTGTTTTTATACTTAAAAAAATGTATGGGTCTGATTTCAGTTCAGAGCTGCTAACTTAACACTTTTTAGTGTTAAGTGTTCCAAAGTACTGAATGCAGAACTGCACTAGCTTAACTGACATTTGTGTAAATACAATATGTTCATTTAAAATTACTTCAAAATTATTCTAGTGGTTGCTCTTAATCTACTAAAGACATAATTTTAAAAAATCTCTTTAGGGGAAGAAAAATCAGTGTGGAGATACCTACACAAGTTTTAAAAATTAATTTAAATATACTAATTCTTAGTGCAAGTTTGTATACACAAAAGGGCTTGTTGGAGTTCAGTGATGTGTCTGTGACTGTGTGAGAGATACAGGACTAGAGTAGATGTGGGTGCTGAAGCCATTGATGTACTTAGAAGTCTCTGAAGGTCCAGTTCTTTACTCATAAACTCAACTCATGGAAGTACTCATACAACTACTAGTTGGTTGAGTAAGCTCTTACAAAATTGTGGCTGAGCAAATGATCAAATTTTAAAGTTAAATCTTTTTTTTCCGATTAAATGAGAGTTGGATAGGAATGCTACTGATATTTAGATTAATTTCCATGAATAGCATTTATCTATTAAACTTAGTAACAAATTAATTTTTGCACTTTGGTTGGTTTGGTTTCCAGTAATGACTTGTTTTTTTGTAAAGACTCTGGCCACTGTACCCACAGTTCTTGGTAACAGAATTGGTACATTCATGTTTCAGAACATCAAAGTGATCCAAATCTAACATCAAGCACATTCCGTAATTAAAAAAAAAAAAAAGGAAAAAATATCATTACATCTTAAAATTATTTTTCTCTAAAAGCAAATATATTTGGATTTCACTGTGAAAAATATTTTAGTGAGTATATCATAAAAGACAATATTTCAATACTTTGTAACCAACAGTAATAGACTTGTCAATCATGGTTTATAGTTATAAGCTAAATTTCAAAAGAACAGTCCTTCAGAGCTCAGTGGTATATAGTGCATTTAATGGGACCAGAGCTCTCTATAGGAAGCCTGATATAAAACCCAAAGACACTGAGTACATTTTATGAACCAGCTGTTCTCTGTTCTGCTGCTTGATCTAAAGTTCCAGTGCTATCAATCAGATTTCTGCTGCAATGAACTGCCTTCTTACGGTAGGTGATAGATTTTACACATGAGAGATCAGAGCTGCAATAAAGCTACTTTTATTTTTAGCTTCCAAATGAAGATCTGCTAACCCATTAGAATCACTTTTTCTCTTTTACTGCAGAAAAATGGTTAAGGCAGCTTCTGAGAATTTCCACAGGGCTTTGGGAGGTTAGAAGGCTGTCCACTGTGAGGCTTGGTATTACAAGGCCAATGTGTTTCTTTCGATCTGTATGTGTGCAGTTACCACCACCTTCATAGGAAATTGCAGTACTTGAGCACATAATAAAATTAGAGCTGTAGTGGTACAGAAAGACATAATGTATCAAGTAGAGCTAGATAGTGCAGTCCAAACAAACCCTGATAGGTAGACAGCTCCTTCAGTCATTTTGTATTTAATGACAGAATTTTATCAGACTGCAGTTGTATAAAGGAGGATTTAGTCTTTCTAACATTAGTTGGTTTTGGGGATATTGGAGTGTATGAGTGAAATGGCAGTCCAGCTTATCCCCAGTAACATCTGTTGCTATGCTCTCAGCCACACAGTGTGGCCTTACTGTTTAAAACTCTATCCCCCACCAATTACATATTTTGTCAATAGGATCTGTCATCCATATTTCAGTTTGATCAAATCTGGCTGAATTTTACTTTGTTCATCTGTATGCTTTGTTAGAGTCATCTTAACCTGGATATGTTTCTAGCTGTTACCCAACTTTTTAAGTTCATGTACAATTTAAGTGAAACTTAAATTATCTTTTCCATTTACATTGGTCCTAGTGACAGTCATGTAGATTCCAGTGGCTTTGTTAGAGATCCAAAGGAGCGGGCAATAATGTGCTTGCATTCACCATATCACTGAGTTATATCATGACTAGTTAAGGGGTAAATGCAGAACAGAAATACTTTACTTTCATGATGCTGCGTCCTGCTCCAGCAACCAAGCTCTCTGTAAATCACAACAGAGTTCAGGTGTAGGGACACTGGCATCATAGAAGGTCAGGCCGAAGGGATGTATGATTTTTGCAAGATAACCTTTCAGGTGCACACTTCCGGGGGAAAAATGAAGGTGACATACTGCAAGGTAGATTAATTTACCAATGTGCTGCTACTGTAGGGGGATGCAAGATGCATGGCTTCTTGTCCAAGTAAAGCTTTCTGAAATACAAATTTCATCCTTTTTATAATGTTTCAGTATACTTTGTTACATCCACATGCTGAATAAACCCAATCCCCAGTGCAACGGATAAAATAGAAGACAGAGTAGTTAGGATTGTGTCTAAATTCTGCACCAATGTTGTACATGAGAACATGTACTTAGCAACTAACCTCAGATCCTAAGTTACACTCAAAAATCTTGAAAATGAAATTTTGAACACTGATGTGCATGCATGTGTGTGTACTGTGGTGAGTTTTCACAGCTGAAATCAGGCTATGTAGAACTGAAGCACTTGGTTTCCCTTTTTGTGATTTCAAATTCACTGTAAATCTCTGCTGGGCATTGTGCGGTCAGTTTTCAGCCAGTCTGCTCTGATTTTTTTGTTAGGAAGCATAGTAAGCAGGAACAGATAAGGTGCAATCAATTGCACTGCAAAGGATTTTCTGTCAGCTGCCATGAATTTGAGGGGATGGACTCAGCTCATGACTTGGGTTTCTGTTATATAATTGCCATTGCAAATATGTAATCCTCAAACATCCAGTCCTTTTGTTCTGTTTTCGTTGTTAGCATTTGGCCTTTGTCCAGTTGGAAACTACTCAGAACCTTTTTAATCAAGCACATCCTGTGTTTTGAAATCATACTGCAGAGTAGACTTGAGTAGTTTCCATAAAAGCCTAGCAAAAAAGAAGAGTATAATCGTAATGGTATTCTTCCCCTGTCATAAAATTACTTTCTATACTTATTGTATTAATACAGTATTAAAAGGCCCTTCTCATGGGCTTCAGTGAGCTACCGGAAACCATTAAAAACTTAGAGCGGCTAATTTTTATGGATCAGACAAAACCAACTTGTTTTATCTTTATGGAGTTTTTGTTATCCATCATACTTAATGATACACAACCTGTGTGGGGACTAGAAAGCAGCTAAATACAGTGAGCTTAAAACTAAAACAAGCAGCCGAAAATATTTTTGTGATATCGCAGCAAGGATTTTCTTAAGTGTGTTCAGCACTGCTTTCAGTTGGGCCAGGATTTCACTTCAAAGTTCCAAAAAATACCAGTACTTTTCTAATCCCAAATATTACCATAATACTTGATGGAAGCATGTTTGAAAATGGAAATGTGCTTCTTGACATCTAAATACTTTTTATAAGTATCTAATGGCTTTTTGGAAAATCTCCTCTGTGTCAGGAACAGCCACCTGGGAACATAGAAAACAAAATTTGGCAGCATGTGCAAGCTATGAATTAAAGGTAATTCTCTGTTTGAAATGAATCAGCTTGAGGTCCTTATGGAGAGTAATCAGATATCAAGAGGATTTTACACCAAGTATTGAATATTGCAACAAGTAATGTCGTTCTACAGAACTATTCAGAACATTCAAATCAAGAAGCACTGATGAATTCTTAACCTGGAAAGAAATCAGTGAACAGCAACAGCAAAAAAAGGGATTCATTCAGTGTTCGTGCATAACTTCCAAAAATGTACCAGGAACCAAAAATGTAACATTCATCTCCAACTGCCATAGGAAGCAGGTTTCTATTTATGAATCAACTCTCTATCAGTATTGCAGTCACAATGCAGCCCAGGTGTAATACACAGGAGAAGCTGAAATGTTCGTATTACTAATTACAGTTTTTAGCTGACCATAACAAAGCGTGAGCACACTAGCTGAGCCCACAGTGGTGTCAGCCAGCTGTTTGTTAGAAACAGGAAGTTCCAAAGATATTCCCTCTGGGTAACCTGGGAAAGTCATGACTACAAGGGCCTCGCACTACCATGTACAAATTATAAGTGAAACAACAGTGGCATGTAATTGGAACTTCATTAATCTTTAGAGAGTTCCAGTGCACTATATTAAAGGGACAAACAGCAGATGAAAATAGAAGGTTCTCTTTTGAGAAATGTCACTCATCTTTTATATTTACTGTTTTGTTTTGTAAGCTAGAAGTTTTCTCT